CAGGTGCTCCACTGCTTCAGTTTGTACACCGTGCATGTTTACACGGCTAGAATGCCATGTTGTGTCCCATTGTCGGCCCGGTAACCGATCGTTTGCGCAAATTTTTTTTGCCTCGACTGTATCTACGGATTGTTTTTTTTCCTCAGTCAATTGCCATAAAGTAGTCGGCACTGGAAGGTCCGTGCCAACGTCTCTATCGTTTAAGCGAAAATTCAAAGTAACGAAACTAAAGTTATTGACGTTTCCAGAGTACTGACATTTCAAATTTTCCATTAAATGACAAAGCGGTCCGGTGCAACAAAAGCAAATTGTGGGGAGAAACACCTGCATTCCAGAAGGCAATTAAAGTAATAAGGAAACGACATTTGAGCTTACAAAAAATCCTGGACGGATAGGCGAGACGCCGCAAGATCCAAAATTATCACTTATACAGCGATATCTCTAACGGATCGCTGCATTTTTAGAAAAAAAGTGCGCGATTGAACACAGAAGACGAGGCCGAAGAAACAAGTGACGTCGCGATTCTCATTCCCTCTCCTCCTCGCCACTTCCCTTTGAGCTGGAGAGTCGAAGCGAGAAGAAGAGACGTGAGGCCGCTTCCCATCATTCTCAAATTTTCCAGGACAGTGACGTTCAAGTCCTCGCTTGATCGCGGTCTTCTTTTCCAAAAGTACGGCCATTCGTTTGAGATATCGATGTATGAGTGATGTTATGGAGTTCGTAGCGTCCCGTTCAACGCTTCTGTCGCTTTATTTTGCGAAATCCAAATTTCGGTTCAGTATCCCTTTAAGCCAATGTCAATATTGTGAATTAAATTAGAGGCCACGCAGTACATATAATACACGCATAAAATGGATTTACACGTTTTAATAATTATAAAAATCAAATACCGCATTCAAATACTTGCAAATATTTTTAGCCAAAAGCAGAGATCTCTGAAACATATTTCTAAGAGTCTCACGCTTGACATATGCTCATCCAGTTGCACGCAGATGCCGAGAGAGTGTTCAAACTTTCCCTCAAAATCGTAGTGCGTATCGGCAGTAATGAGCTACATGGCGGCTGTACGGTTTTATGTTCAAACGTTGACGCAGCATCGTATAGCATTGTTTTCTCACGTGCAGCTCTCGGCTTGTTTTGCGCGTGAAATGTGTTGGTGTCATCACAGCAGAGCGCTGAGCAAGACTATTTCGCGTAAAAATTCACCCGTGTTCACTAAGTGCCTTGTACCGAACCTAAACGACCAGTGGTGCCTGGCGAAATGGCGTGCTAAATAGAGCTTGTGCAGTAGAGCTTCTTCCACAGTACCTCTATTAACTAAAAAAAGTTAGGAGTTATCAATATACCTTCAATTACCTTTTTTAGAAGCTGGGAGGAGCCTTTATTGGCACGTTGTTCTTGCAAAAGGAGTATGCCTATCACCTTGCCACTGGTCAAAATTTACTAGCCATCTTATCTAGAGCTCCCAAGAAAGAATCCCCGTCTTGTAAATGAATTATATTAAATAAGCAGAAACATTTCATGCACAACTTGTCATAATAGAGGCCGTTGGCCGCAGGGCACGTTCAACATTGTTTGCTAATTGAAGAGCGATCTTGATTTGGTTGATTTAGCTGATTTACACACATAGACGTGCATTCTACCAAATCAAGATATTTATTTTTTGGCAAATGTAAAAGTTAGCTAGTGGTCCAAAGAAACTCAAATATTGCGTGAACGCAGCATTCTGTGCCAACTACGTCTTTAAAAAAAAGCTCTGTTGGAGTGGGCTTTTATAAGGGCCTAAATATGGACAACCAATTGGTCTCAAGCTGCTTTATTTGCTGCATTAAGGTACAATATTGGCAAGCCAAATAACAATACAAAGCGCCACATCTACTGTACATTTATGCTGTTGAGCTGTGGCGTTGGGAGGGCAGGGGGATGTTACTGCAAGAACTCTCTAGGCACAGAAAACTTGACTTTTTTGCCACAAATTTAGCTGAAGGTATGAATGTTAAAGTCGCAAAACCTTCGCTATGTTGTAAATCACATTTTATTTCTTGATAAGTCACTTTGACAGGTTGAAATCACATCTTTACTGCTTAGTGTTATTCTCTTAGTGTAAGAATAAAGAAATCACGCGCAATTAATGCACCGCGATCTTGCTTTTCTTTCTTTGAACGCGTTAGAATTAGAACGCTCTTTTTGACGAAAATCCGAGGGTGCCATTCGTTTGTCAGCTAGAGGGAGAGAGGAGAGGGAGGGGATGAGGGTGGCGCGTACGACGCTCGTTTTGGTCCGAAGCACTGACATCACACGGGTCAACCCCTCAACTCCTTCTACGTCTCTCCCTGTAGCTCACAAACGAAAGTCACCACCGGGCTTTCGTCAAAACGAGCCCTTTGGTTTTTGTTGAAGGCACGCGCACAGCTGGCGCAGAGCCAGAAAGGAGGAGGCGCCGCGCAACACCACCTAGATATCAAAACCTTACTACGAATGAGATCGTGTCACCAGAGAAGGGCAACGCTGGATACAGATTGAAAGCGAGTGCCGCTTCAGCGCTCGGCATTGACTCAAGTTTAAACTTTGAGCCGACGTTGTTGTAATCTCGTGTCCACTCTGGTCCCAAAGTTGGCCTTCTCTTATGACGCCATATCATTAAGGACTACGGCTTTGTTATCCTGAAGGTGTTGCGCCGCGGCGTGGTGGAATGCGGGCGCAGTGGCGTCAATAGGGTCAGCGGCAACAGGGGCGGTACACCGCTGGGCCCCGCCGCCCCCCCTCGCTTTAACATGCCACTGTGCGCGCAAACACAGTCGCCGCTTTGCAATCACCAGTTTTTCTTCGCCTTGGGTTTCTGTAGTAGCGGTGCGTGAGCTGTGATGTGTATAAGTATAGTCGGTTACAGGTTAAGAAGGTAGCGGCAAATGCCCCTCAAAGGGAATCATATGTCCCTCCGCCACCTCCGCATCCGATAGCATGCCATCGTTTCCGTGACGTCGCGGTCAACGCGCGAGGAGAGTCTTGCCTTTCTGTACATATTTGCTTTATCTTTCGACTTTGACTTAGCATTGTGGAAGCCACGAGAGGGAGATTAGAGTTTTCTCCCTCCGATGGAAACAAATACGACTTTCGGGGATTAGTTTCCCCCTCCGATGCATGCAAAGGCTGCACTCAGGGGCTCGGTTCCCCCTCCAATGAATACAAAGGTCGTTTTCTTAAAAAGTGGGATCGGAGACAAGTTGGAATCCATTGAAGCGCAACAAGGAGCGTTTCCAGTGAACTCTTCTTTCGACTGCGGAGAGATTTGAAACGGGCGCATCACGCTTGTGGGAGGAGCTTCTCCTACCTCCTTGGACTTCCAACCGACTATAGTTAAAACGATGGATGCGGTTCCCTCTACGAGTAATATGGACGCAGTTCCTTCCACGAGTGGTATAGATCTGGTTCTTTCCACCAGTAATGTGGATGACCGTGAAAGAGTAAGAAAATTACAGGAAGATTCACTGATGGATTCTTATTGAATCCCTTAGCATGACCCTTGGGAGACGCTACACACGTTCACTTTTGGGAAATGCTAACACTGACGCCGTAACGAGGCCTAAAAAAGACAGCACAAAATAGAGGAAGCAAAAGAGAAAGCCAAAAGAAAAAGATACATTGGTGGATTCTTAAGGAATGCGTTAGCATGACCCATTTAAACGCCACACACGCCCTCCTATGGGAAACGCTAACGAGCGTTCTCATGCTAACGCATTAAAAACTAGCTTGCTACAATTGCACACTGTCCGTGTCTCTTGTGTTAGCAAATTGTCGTGTGTATATTCGCGCTCTATTCCGCAAGAACAGTTGGTTTGGTCGCAACAGTCTAAACTTTTTATTTTATTGTTAATATGCATATTGGACTTGTTCTTGTGTTTTGCAGCGTTTTTGGAGTTCAATTTACTTTAATTACTAACTACATTATGCAAAACTCTTCGGATATATTTTTGTTTTATTTTGGTTTCGAAATGGACTATTCAAAAGGCTCTAAATAAGTGTGCGACGCAGACGCAACTTGTCATGCTTTTCGTAGCTTCCTGCTCATTATAACAATTAGATTTCTTAGGCACGCCCCCAAAAAAGTATTGTTAAAAAAAAGTGCCAGGTGTAATCAGATGACCATTGGCAACATTAGTGGGAATTTGAATTTAAAGTCTATCGAGGATCGAAATGAATTTTTAAGGCAAAATCGAGGCTGGAGTTGGTGCAAACACTTCCTTTCATCAACGTAACAAATCGCTTTGTTCTGAACTGATTTAATAAAAAAAAAACATAGCATCCGAAGTTACTCTTAATTTCACTTAAATTAAAATATTAGTTCAGGTTTTTTTATTGTCTCGTTGTTTGTGAATGCAGCGACATTCCCTCTCATTTTATTTTCTACAGATTTGGCTTTCACGAGGAATGTAAACGTAAGAACGTTTATCGCTAATCCTATTTTTCGTCAAAGTTTCTAAAGGTCAATAAAATGAAAATTGTACTAGGATAAACAAGCAAAGTTTTACTAGAATGAGATGCTCAAATTTCGTCACGATGCGTAAAAATATTTACTACGCATTTGATCAATAACGTTGGGTGACCTTCCAAAACATTAATGCTATTACATATTTATTGCAAACGTAAAATTCTTCTTACAACTGAGATCGTATTTGTACAGTATGTAAAGCGACACCCTAAGAAGTGTCTGCGTGTGAATACCCCGTATTGCAGCCGATGACGAAGTAAGGTGTATATCGTGGTCCAAACGTCGTGCGATTCGAGTGGCAAATATCTAAGGAGTTGTTTATTGCTAGAGGGGCAAAGATATTGTTAACCGTATTTTCCTCTCGGCCTTTTTGTTGGAAGATCAAGATCAATATTAGAGGCTGCGAGATTCCAACTTTTCTTTTTTTATAGATTTCACGCACCAATTGTTTTCCACCAGCCTGTAGCTGTAGTTTTTAGGATACCCCTAAAAAAGTACAAAATTCATGCAATTTTATAATACACTAATATTTTATTTGTGTGTTAATTTCAAATAAATATCTAAAAAATTGCGACGCAGTCCTCGAGGAACTTTTTGGTGTCGGGATCCCACATCGTCTCCTGCACAACGACGCCCCCGTTCAGCTGAACACCCTTGGCGATGAGGTCCTTGCCAAGTTCGTCGATGTCTTCGGAGAGTGCGAGCACCAGGCCGCTGTAAGACTCGTCGTCTCCAAGGGCGTACCTTCCAGTGCGCTCTCGGATCTTCTGCCTGATTATTTCGCCTGCCTTCTGACCCACGAATCGCTTTCCAATCTCCAGACCTGCTTTGCCGACTTGTCTGAACACTTTCCTAGCACCTCGAAAAATCTTCTTGAAGAAATACTCCGCCGCCTGAAACAAAATTAAACGAAGATTTTTTTAGTTCGCAGCGCCGCAAAAATTAGAAATGTAGTCGATACAAGCGTGAAAACAATTCACGTGCTTTTTACTGAACAATCGCCTCGTTAACCAACCCCCCCCCCCCCCCCCAACAAATATTCCTGCCTTTATATTATTATTTTTTTATGTCAGGTGCACAGTTACTTCTTATAATCACGAAACATAATGCATGCTGTTTGCTTGCATGCATGCTTGCTTCCTTTTCTTTGCGACAGTAGATTATACTATTTTCCTGAATTATAACTCTTACGAACTGTAAAGTCAAATTTTTAAAGTTGTAATTTGCATGTCTATCCTTAGCCACCAGTGAGCTCATTTGCTCCTGACCTGCATATTTTGTTCTTAGAACACATCAGTACTTTTGTTTTTCCAAAAAAAGGTTAAAGGGTGCAACCTATGAAGCGAGGTTTCTAGCAGAGAAATTACTAAAATAAACGTATTTTACGTTTATCTTATTTAACCAGTAATGCCCACAACAAATACGCACTCAAATGCACATGAGCAACCGCTTTCAAGTGCCTCTTTATGGGGCAATTGAAAACGCTCATTTAGAGCCAGTTTCAGTTCTCACCTCGTCCGCAGGAACGTCCGCTTTATGAGCAGTTTCCTTCCAGCCCTGCGCAACCTTGCACAATATCTTGCCTACCAGTTGGGCCTCTTCTCCAACCCTTTTGGATTCTTCGTCTAGGACTACGTCAATCGCGATAGCATCTTCCGCCTTCCTTGTCGATGGAGCTGCCAATACCATTCACTAAATTAGTGAGGGAATATGCTTAGGCACATTCACTTAGCCTCATAATTGAGTCATCACTGTGACCCAACCTCTCGAGCAACGCTGATGTGTAAATTACCTACTACATTAAAACAGCATATGTCCGATATTTCAACCAATGTTTCTAGTATGCAACTGTAGGTCCGGTGACGTGCTAGCAATAAAGTGATTACAAAATATATAATAGAATTATTAGCTCTCTTGATAAAGCAGCTTGGCAAATAAATGACTCCGAGTGCACGCGACGTTACAACTGCAATATAAATATCTGGGCTTAAACTTTAATAATTCTGGAGTGCCTAGTTTTTGGGCCGCAAAGCACTTGGAACGGAAGCAATTTACTCTACCAAAAGGTTTGCGCGAAAGAGGCTTCAGATTTCTTAGAGTGTGCTATTAAGCTTAATTTTAACGATTTTGATTTATTGAAACTTTGATACACGTGCAAACCTTCTGAGGAAAAACGAGGCTAGTGCAACCTTTGATTTCGCATTATACGAATGGCCAGATTCACGCCTAAATAATCATACCTGCATAAAAAGCAATAATAACCTACGCCATTGGCACATTGATTTTAGAAATATAGTCCACTAAACGTTTCACACTTACCAGCAAATGCCGTGCAGCATGCAAAAAAGATGCCGAACAGGACTGAGTTCATATTGTTTCTAAAGTGAGCAAAAAATTGCAAGGTTCATGTACAACAATAGGAGCGTTTTACTGGATGTTTTATATATGTCTCAGCTGCGTGTACTCATAAAAAATGATAAATTTTCTAAATGTTTGATTTTTGACAACAAAATTGATCTTGCCATCTTTAAAAGTATATTGAAAAATATAAAAAAGGAGAAGATTCAACGTACCCTTGGAGGATGTCAAGCGTGTTGTAACTGATGAGTACTGCTTCGTTTATCCTTGTCTAGGCTCCACGTCTCTTTTTATATGGTCACTGTTTTAAGGTTCTGAGTTTATGATAAGCAATTTGTGCTGTGGATGTCCCCTACTTCAAATGGGTTTTTTTCGCATTCAGCCTTTCGCCCCTCGCTACGCGCATGTTCTATCATACTTTTCTGTTAGTACAACACGGGGGTTTTCCCCTGAAGAGTTTTGTTGTATGCGCTTTATTTGTGTTGGAAGTGATAGCGATAGGACGCATTCTCGTAGAGTTGCTTATCACTTTTGCGCTATCACGAAACGATGGGACTTCCTTGAGAGTAAAGTACTTCTTAGTCACATCACGTGAATAGATACCACAATGACAACTGACAAATTGAGTTGAATTAATTATAATGTTCATTCATTTTTAATTCTTCATCAAAGTAGCGTTCGAAAATACCACTTTTTTACTACATTGAAACAGTTATTAAGCACCAATGAAAAGCATGAAACATATTCGATCAAAAATACTTCTGTAAAATGTCAGTAAAATACATTATAGAAGCTAAATACATAAATAAATAAATAACATATTTCTACTATTCTTTAAAAACAGCTAATTTTCTAGTTTTTTATTAAGCATTATCCTGGTCCAGGTAGCGTCTTGAATATTGCCTTACTTCCACAGCTATAGGTCTGGTTTCTAAAGTGACGTACGCAGTAAACTTCAAAACATCGATAATGGTTTATGACAGTTGTTTCATTCCAAATGCACCTTTTCAAAGCGCGATATTTTTTTTTCACAATAGGTTAATGTTTGTGATACACTTATAGATCGTGCGAGAGAGGTGTTACACGTTTCGGCGGAATCGAAATGATGTTCAGGAAACATTACACCTTCTACAGGGGAGAACGTGCTTTCGCCTGACAACACCTTTTTTCAGGTTTTCCGAGACAGACTCCACTGAAACAATAGACCAGACTTGTACCGTACGCATTACAAGTAATCAAATTACTTGTAATCGACTACTTTTCGGAGTAATTTTGTAATCAGTTGATTACTTTTATTAGGCAGTAATCACAAGAGTAATCTGATTACTTTTTGAAGTAATAAAATTACTTGTAACCGTTACAATTTGTCCACGGGGACCCGTTTTTTTTGTTTTTTTTTTAGCTGGGACTGGGAGTGGGAAGCCCCAGGGAAGCCACAGTGCGTGACAAAGGCTATTCAGGGCGAAGTTTGAGAAAGCAGAGTGTAGCTTTGTGAGTCCTTCGTTCAAACTAGCCCCCTCACGCACACACACACACAGAAATAAAAAATAAAAAAATCCTGCTTATGGTACCTACTCGCAGCCCGTAGGAGAACCAGAACCGAAGAATGCCTAAAGCGGATGCAAGATATAACAAAGGCAGTTGAAATATTTTCCCATTTCCCCTACGTGGTCTTTGTGACAAGCAATGTTTCGAGTTGAGAAGTGGTCGGGGCGATCTCTTCCGCTAATGGATACTACACATGATCCGTTTCAAATCCTGAAGCTGCTGCTCTTTTGTGTAACATGCGAGCTCATCCACATGTGAATAATAAAATGAGCGACGCAAACTTTGAGCGACAACCCTTGCTCAAGCTTAACAAGATCTAGAACCCCCTCCGCTCCCCCCCCCCCCCCCCCACACACACACTGGCGAACGCCCAAATCAATAAACGTCTTCAAACGAATTCTATATGCTTGTGTCCATATTGTGAAGGTGCAACGATCACCAAGAGGGAGCCAGTTTTTCTTCTTCAATACTTGTGCAAATGTGAAATATAGGTTGGAAGTAGTTCATTGTTATGAGCGCTGAAGATGTGTCTTCACACAATAAAGTAATCGGAAAAGTAACGATTACTTTTTTAAGTAATGTCCAATTACTTTTGCAGTCGAGTAATCAAGTAATCTAATCGAATACTTTTTAGCCAAGAGTAATAGTAATTGTAATCGCATACTTTTTTTAGTAACGTGTACAAGACAGCAATAGACCGGAGTCACAGTTGGCTCTGCGTATAAGAAAGGTTTGGGAAGGTTTGGGAGGGGGGGGGGGGCTAAAAAAAATAAGAGAAGGTGGAGGATTTCCGATTTTTCGTAGTTTCGGTTTTTAACTCTAAAGAGGGGAGACATCCTATCGCTATTACTATCAACAAGAAGCCATGGTGGTCGAATGGACGAACTGATCTGCTTCGTTTTTTTTCAGTCGAGGTAAGTTCTTGGGTGTTTTTCAAGTTTTCGAGCAAATATACGGCTGGGAAATGCTAATAGGTTCAATATGAGAAGTTCAGATCAATAGACTTTTGTAAAAAGAGCTCTCTGGCCGCCGTTTTGTGGCTCGGGCGACCCCTACCAGCCCGAAATTTCTCCTACCCACCTGAGCTGTAGGAACGAGTCAGCGCGACTCCCCAAGTGCGCTGTGCATTCGGAATTCGACGCATTTTCTTGGAAGTTTTTACCTTATTTGCCTGTTCAGGATGCTCACCCTTTTTGTGTTATCTTCCACTACGAACACCAGGGAATACCAAGGCTCGTAGCCTGCTCGTCCTTCGCAGGAAACGAACGAAGGGAGCGAAAGCCATGCAGCTTGCGACGCAGGCAGTTTGACGTTCTTGGAGGATTATTTCCGTTGAGATAATCTCCAAAAAGCCTTCCCGGCTATGTTAAGGGTCTTCGCGAAACATATTTGATAGGGTCGGTTTCGGGGTGTGGGGACGAAATAGACAGGTTCGTTCATTTCCTTTGAAGCTGTGCAAAAAAGCAACTCTCTTCCTCATGTGTCCCAAAACACTCCGGATTCCGTTTGATCGTCGTGAAGTGACTATCGTCGCTACTGTATATTAGGTATGCTGTGTTTTTTTAGAGCTTTCTCAAATCCTGTTCAGATAACGCGGCACCGTGGGCTACGTCCCATATATGTTGTTCGATTGATGAGGCTCGTTAATTTTCATGTTGTGAGCGGGGAATATCAATACAGTTCGGATATCCTGTGTGGTCAAAGGTTTTCGACGGTTGAGACCTTTGTAGATTGGCACGGCTGAGTGTGTGGTCCCGTAAAAAGATCAGCATAATATAAAACAAACATTCCAATGGCATTTGTTCTGTGGCTTTGATTTCTTGTTCAAAACAGCTTCGATTTCTTGTTTATGTCCCGCCCCCTTCCAAAAAAATAAATAGTACAATGCACTTTTAAAAACCTCGAGAAATCATATTCGCCCTTGAACACAAAAAAAAAAATAAAACGCGGCAATTAAGCCTCCACCAACGTCCGGAAGTGCGCCTACGCAGGTTGCCAGAGCCCAAAACCCACAACCCAGCGCAGTCGGGCAACACTGTCGTACCCTCTCAAAACCAGGGACGCGCGCTCTAAATCGCTTCGTTTGAGACTGCCGCTGGAAGGGTCTAGATACGTCAGTTTTATAATCGCAGAAGTACTAGATTTCCTGATTATAACATATTTCTTTTAGAGGTGTGCAAAAATCAGAGCTGCCAAATCGCACAACGGAATTTAAAAATGAGTAAAGCTATACGCACTATGTAGTGCGACTCGACCGGAAATGGCTACACGCACTACGCCAAATACATGGATATATAGATATGTACAGCCACAACGCCCAAAAATATGCAGTAAAAGCATTTTCCCCCTACCCAAGCATTTCTTTTCTTATTTGTTTTTTTTTATTTTTTATTTATTTATTTATTTGGGTGGGGGGGGGGGGGAAATGGAGGTGACATCGAGGGTATCGGGCCTTGAATTTAGTAGCTGTCATTAAAAAATCGAATTGGCCATGAAGTAGCATGATCATACACCAAATAACAAAAGAATTTTTTTTTTGTTAATGCGATTGATATGTGCTGCGATTGACTCGCGACACAACTGATCGTTACACGACTGATTCTTATACAAACGTTATACGAATGACCTTTATTAAACTGAAAATTCGAGCAAATTTATTTTTGATAAAAAAAATACTTTTCGAATTTAATATTTTGAACACCACAGAAACCTATGTCTATTTTGTCACCCCACGTTATTTCTCACGGAGATGTTATGAAAAATATCACATAAAGGACCGATTACGCCACTGACACACAAAACCATATTCATTTACTTCGTTTATTCATTAGCTAATCAAAGTTTAGGTTTTGGCCCAGGGTAAATGACTTTAGATTTAAGACTTTCCTCAAAATATATTAAACCCTCTGCATACTTACAAATCGAATATGGTTCGCAAAAGTTTTTAAATAGGTATACCCTCCTTTATACCACTGACATTCATGTCGGTCACACTTGTTTCTTTTTAAAATTCGGTAAAATATAAATATTTTAGCAACACTAGACGCTGAGATCATATCATACATTGTAGCTAACGTAGGTGTAAGATTTTTTAAGTCAGGTTTATAAGAGTTCACTTCGCTATAACAAAAGTTGACGCCTTTGAGACTTGTCTTGTAGTTTGCAGGTACAAAACAAATGCTGAAATTACACATAGGACGTACTGTAAACTAAATTTTTGATCTAGAAGTGTCTTAACGTTAAGATTTTGATAATATTTAATTTTAGGGCACCCTGATGCTATTCTGTAAAAACTATAGTTCAGGAATGGTGAGAGGAAGGTGTTTGAACGTTACTTGACAGTCGCATTAGTGTTGAATTTTCGGGACAATGACTCAAATACTTTCTGACGCTACCCCCGATTCCCACATTTTGCCCGTCCTTCCGTTTGTCAATTTTCCGCTAAATTTAGGGGGTAAATTGGCGTCACGTGAT